TCAGGTAAGCTGCAGGGGTTTTCTGACTACAGAATCCCCCAGTAATGTTTTGTCACTTCCCTTATATAGGCTACCCAAACCAAAAACAAAGAAATCTTCAAATCAGTTGTAAAAACATAAAAGACCTTTTGGTTACTTAGGTTCTCGTGACCCAGGGTCACACCTGGCTGGAGATAGATAAACATTCTCACAGACCCTGAGGCAGACACACCCCTCAACAGCAGAACAGAATTCTTCCAAAGTTTTCAGTCTTTCTCATAATATAAGTGACTACTGTAAAATTGAGACCAATTTACCAATCGCACAGAGACCTTTAGAACGATACCAAACATGAAGGGGGAAAACAACAGGTTCACAAGATACATGATATGTGGTATACATATTCTTAATGAACTTTGAGTGAAACCTTTTGGGGGAAAAGAGGGAGAGGCAGAGAGGGCAGGGGTAGAAGGGGGTCGTAAATGAGCAAGGAGAGAGGTGTTGTTTGTCCTCTTTGGAGATCTCTTCTCCAGATTAGTTTTATGGTTTTGCTGCATGGCATCTGTTTTGTGTGAGTTCTTGACGTGTGTGAGTTCCAGATGTTTTGGATTCATGAGGAAATAATTTCACTCCTTACACAATGCAAGGGTAAATAAATAGTTAACTGATGTTTGAATAGTACAGCATTTTCTTTACTCAAACACTATGTCTAAAGACTAATGTTTTTATGTGTTTGAAGAGCGGAGAAGTAGGTTATTTGCCGTCTAGCCAATAGGCTATACTTTTGTACGTTTTAAATATCCCGTGCATAAGCGCTTAATCGTTTATATCATGAGATTTTGGCCAAGTGTATTAAACAAAAGAAATTAAAGAAAAACGAAGTGCCCATATAGCAACAATAAACGATATATAACCTGTAAAAGTTGATGAAAGGGTATAATGCGATGCACTTGCCTCAAATGCGGCCGTTCTATTGACAGACAAAACACAGATCTCCTCATTCGCCCACCAAAAACCTTGTTAACTCCATTTGAGCTTGTTTTTCATATAGCCTAATGTTAAAGGTCCACTGAAATGCTTAGAAACACGCAGCGTTACTCTATGTGTTGACGTCATTTTAACTGAAACAGGAAGACAGGGCGGGACATATCAAGCAGCCCCGCCCCTTTTTAAAATAGCCAATCGCGTTCGTTTATATCACAGCTTGGGCTAGAGCTGTTCAGAGGATCATGATGCTTCTGCCCATCTCGGAGGTTGAGGAGCACAGTGTGGAAGCTGGAGGAGCTGAACACGCAGCGCCAGCTGAAGCTTGGGCTCTGATCCTATGGGGTGGGTGGGGCATTACAAATTGGGTTTTCTTTTCTTTTTTTTCCCTTCAGTACAGATTCATCACCCATGTGCGCAAGATATACAGTAGGTGGCGGTAATACTCCTAAGGATTCTAAAAGACTACGTTTTGTCAAGGTTTAGATATTTTTACAGGGGTATTTAAGTACAGGGGTTCAAGCAAAACCCCATTCCACAGCCATACCTGTCACACACCCAGTTTAAGAGCAGTTTTTTCTTGTAATTAGGAGCGCTTGTCCACCTAATTAAATTTTTTTTGGAGCACCTAAAAAATTCTGATCAGAACTTAGCCTCAACTCACCTCAACCTTTATTTATAAAGCACTTTCAAAACCATAAAAATGGACCAAAGTGCTGTACACAAGCAGTATATAATAAAGATAAAAAACATAAAACATTAAAACAGGAACAAAACATAAAATAAAAGACAAGTCATTCACAATTGTCCTGACCAATAAAAGGCCGAAAGCCTGATAAAACAAGTAAGTCTTTAAGTCCTTTTTAAAAACGTCCATGCTTGATGAGGATTTAACAGATAATGGCAGAGCATCAAGCACGTGCAGAGGGGGGTGCGATGGGTGCTTGAGCACCTGCCCCTTTTCCCCTTGATGCCCAAAGTTCCCTTTTGACAAGGCAATTTATTTTTATTTTTTTGTAATTAAACGCCATTTTGTGGAGGCCTGCCCAATCTAACTATTAGTAAAATGAATGAATAATAATTTAGTCGTAAATAAAATTATCCACATGATGATGACCTTTTACCTGACGATCTCATCAGGGACTATCCCTCACGTTCAGACACCTTTAATGTAGTGCACTACCAGGATGCCTTCATAACGTCTGCGGCTGCCGGTAAGAGGAGTTCTCAGCGGAGCGGTGTGCTTGTATACTTATATTATTA